TTAAAAATAAATGAACAATAATAGTGAATGTTTATTGAGCTTGTACTGTCAGCTACATACTATGCTATGATTTTCTTCATGGATTATATAATTTAACACTCACAATAAACTTATCACATAGGTAAATACTATCATGCATAGTCAGGACTTTTCGTCTAATTGAAGCATACTGAAACCTAACCCAAATTAGCTTAGGAAGAAAAAAAAAGGAATTTATTGGTCCATGTAACTGCAAAGTCCAGATAGCACTCCCTGACTAAAGCTAGTTATCCGTACATCTCTGAGGAGGCCTGGGAGCAGGAGAAGTAGGGCCACCAAAAAGAAAATGGGCAGATGATAAGCACAGACCACTACAGATGCCTCCTGTAACAGATGAGGAAACTGAAGCACAGATAGGCTCTGTAACTTCCCTAAAGTCTCAGAGCTGGAAGGTGGTAAAAGCCAGATTCAAATACAGTCATTTTGACTCTGGAGCCCATGATTTATAGTGTGATGGGTTAATATTATGTGCCAACTTGATTAGGCCATGGAGTGCCCAGCTATCTGGTTAAACATTCGGAGTGTGTCTGGGAGGGGGTTTTCTGGATGAAATTAACATTTGAATCAGTGGACTGAGTAAAGCAGATTTTCCTCCCCAGTGTAGGCCGGCCCCATCCAACTTGTTAAAGGCGTGAGTAGATCAAAAGGCTGAGCAAGAATTTGCTTTCTGCCTAATGGTCTTTAGCTGAACATCAGTCTTCTCCTGTCTTCAGACTCACGCTGGAACTTCTAACCATTGGCTCCTGGTTCTCAGGAGACCAAACGGCAGTTCTTGGGACTTCTCAGCCTCCATAATTGCATGAGCCAATTCCTTATAATAAAACTCATATATATTATAAACACATGGAAATAAACCTCATATACGTGGTTATGCAGGTGACCCTTGAACAACGTGGGGGGGATGGTTAGGAACACTGACCACCCTCCACTGAGTCAAAAATTTTGACTCCCCCAAAACTTAACTACTTGTAGCATACTATTGACTTACCAGTAACATAAACAATTGGTTAAAATATATTTTGTATGTTATATGTATTATATACTGTATTCTTACAATAAAGTAAGCTAGAGAAAAGAAAATGCTGTTAAGAAAATCATAAGGAAGAGAGAACTCATTTATAGTTATTTTTAAAAATCCTCATGTAAGTGGACCTGCATAGTTCAAATCTGTGTTGTTCAGGGTCCACTGTATTCTCTCTCTCTCTCTCTCTCTCTCTCTATATATATATAATATATACACACACACACACATATATATGTATATGTATACATGTATATGGTTTCATATATATCTTAATCATCCAGAGAACCCTAATAATTAGCAACAAGACAATACTGCCAAGCTACATGCATGAATATGGAAGATGTCCAGGACGTTTTTCTTATGTATGTATGTATGTATGTATATATTTATTTATTTTTAATGTTTATTTTTGAGAGAAAGACAGAGAGAGAGAGAGAGAGAGAGAGAGACAGAGAGCAAGTGGGGAAGGGGCAGAGAGGGGGAGACACAGAATCAGAAACAGGCTCCAGGCTCTGAGCTGTCAGCACAGAGCCCGATGTGGGGCTCAAAGTCGTGAACTGGGAGATCATGACCTGAGCCAAAGTTGGACGTTTACCGACTGAGCCACCCAGGTACCCCGTTCATGACATATTTCTAAGTTAAAAATAATCGGCTAGAGTATACTGTGTTACATGACCCCGTTTATATAACAATATATAAATGAAAAGCCTGGAGGGCTACATAACAAACTGTTAACAAAGGGTCTCTCTAGGAAGTGATATTAGGGAGGGCTTTTGCGTTCTTATTATTTGAAAAACTTTCCTCACAAGGGTCAACTATTTCAGGGAAAAACAGTATTTCCATTCTTGAAAAGAAATTTAAAAGTCAGTAAAATCAAATTTCACACCAAGATGGGTGTGAGCAGCAGGGAAATCAGCAATTGCTTCATGAACATGGGAACATGAGACGTGAAATGGCAGCGTTTTCTCCTCCCCTCCCCTCCCCTCTCTTCTCCATTGCACTCTTCATTTTATTTAATTTATTTTTAGTTTCCTGAGAAGGGCTGAAGATGGTATGCTTGGTTGCTCTTCTTTTCCCCTGGCTCTGAGAGTTTATCCATGCCAAGTGGACCGTAAGTGACTAAAAGAATCAACTGCATATCAGAAAACTCCGGGGCCAGAAGAAACCTTAGAGAGGGTCTAGTTCAGTGACTTTAAAAAAAAAAAGTTGTTTTTTTTCCCCTTTTGGAAAACCAAACCCAAGTGTGGGAGGAACGCAGAAACCAGAATTCTTGCTGAGAATGTGGTTTGAAAGACATTCATCTAATCTAACCCTATCATTTTGCAGAAAGGTCTCAGATCTTCTTCTCTTGGCCAGCTATGTCACACATTCCTAAGTCTACACAGGTAACTCGGATTGCATCTTTTCTGGACTTTCAGAGGGCTGGGCAGTCTGAATTAGGCAAACAGGACATGTTGTGACTGGGCATGGTTGCTGCCTCCCGTGCAGGTGAGAAATGCCCCATTTTCTCTTTCTTAGCAGCCCAAGGCCCTTTTCTTTTTTTAGGATTATTAAAACTGGCTCCCATTCTGCCTAGGGGGCCAGAGTGTTATAGGATTCTCTGTTCCCAGGAGTGGGTCAGGGTCAAGGGACATAAGAGAGAGGAACTGAGGAAAATAACTCAGTGACAGGCAAGGAGCCTTTGTTAAGATCACAGAATTAAGGTTGGGATTAGGTCTGAAATCTAGGATTAATTTTTCCAGATCATGTTAGGATTAGGATTAAGACGGAGGCTAGAGTGTAGAATGGACATTGGGGCTAATACCAAGGTAGAATGAATTCTGATGGAAGGGTTGGCCCTGGGAGTTAGAGTTGTGGGGTAAGAATTAGAATCTGAGTTAGAGGACCATCTGTTTTCTCTCAGGTCTCCACGAGTGACTCCTTTTTGGCTGTCTCTCGCAGGGTTAAGGTCTTTGGACTCAGTATTACTAAGAAAGCAGCCCTTGTGAGCCCATGCCCTTGAGTCATACCTGGCTCTTTCCCATACAACCTCAGTTGCTACTTCAAGAGCTCTGGCTGCTGAAGCATTAATATTATCCTTTACTAGACCCTCCTGAGCACGTAGATGGCTCCTTTTAGGCCAATGGTGATTGCAAACTACTCCCAAGAGTCACATCACAGGCTCATCTGGAACGTAATCTACACTAGAAAATAGTCAAGACAATTATGACAAAAGCACTTCTGACAATTACCCCCACACTTTGGTCCCCTAATTTGATGATGCCCTGAAATTTTATGTTCTCTCTGAGCATTCAGCCAACTAAGTGGGCATGTTATAGGAATTGGTTCAAGGGCTTTTCCGATAGAAACCTTGGGAACGAAGGGTGAAAAGTTAGCCAGCTAGGAACATAAGAGGGAGCAAATGAACACTGGGTCTCATTTTGTGTGATGAAAAAGCTTGCAGTGAGTTTCAGTGTCTTGTAGGGAAGGTATGTGGTACACATTCCCCCAGGATAGTCTGAATAGGGTGCCAATTCACATATGGGTTTCATATTATTTTTTGTTGTTGTTGGTCAACAAATATTTATTAATGTCTACCAAATGTGTCCCGGGCATTGTATAAATAATGGTGAACAAGACAGACACGATCTTTGGAGAGAAAACATGAATAAATATTTAATTATAAACTGTGATAGGTTCTACAAAGGAAAAGGGTGCCACAGAAGATAAAAATAGGGTAATATAATTTTAAGTGGGGATAGGGGGTGGTCAATGAAAGCTTCTTTGAGGGAATGCCATTTAATTTTAGGCCTGAAACAATTTTTTTAAAATAATTTTTTTTATTTTTTTGGTATTTATTTTTATGTTTACTTAAAAATTAAAAACATTAATGGGGCGCCTGGGTGGCGCAGTCGGTTAAGCGTCCGACTTCAGCCAGGTCAGGTCACGATCTCGCGGTCTGACTTCAGCCAGGTCAGGTCACGATCTCGCGGTCCGTGAGTTCGAGCCCCGCGTTGGGCTCTGGGCTGATGGCTCAGAGCCTGGAGCCTGTTTCCGATTCTGTGTCTCCCTCTCTCTCTGCCCCTCCCCCGTTCATGCTTCTCTCTCTGTCCCCCCCCAAAAAAAAAATAAAAAAAAATAAACGTTGAAAGAAAAAAAAATTATTTCCTTCAATAAATTATTATTATTAATTCATTAATTTTTTAAAAAGTTTATTTTATTTTGAGAGAGAGAAAGAGAGCATGAGCAAGGGAGGGACAGAGAGAGAGGATCCAGAGTGGGTTTGAACCCACAAACCATGAGATCATGACCTGAGCTAAAATCAAGATTTGGAAGCTCAACCACTGAGCCACCCAGGTGCCCCTATTAATCAATTAATTAATTTTTGCATAAAGTTTCAGTGGGTTTCTGTTCCTTGCAGATACAAGAGGCTTGACTAAGAGTGGCTTCTTATCAAATAAGCTCTTCCATTCAGTAAACATGGATTGAGTTGGCTTCAATCCCATGGTGATTTGTGGATCCTACAAGCATACAGATAATGTACAAACAGAATGGCATTTATAGAAATAATATTTGCTAATAAAATTAATCTAGGTGATACCTTCTGAGCATCTTGTATCCCCACTGCGTTGAGAGTACTTAGCAGCTATTTCTATCAGCCAAACCTTTTGGAGTTAGGTTTTGTGGTAGGAGACAAACATGTATATTTCTTGGTCCTATAATGGAGATTATGTGGGCAGAGGAAGGAGGGAGTAATTCTGCCTTGTTAGCAAAGGCAAGGCATTGAAGAGATAACATATGCCTGAATGGGCAGGAGTAGTGTCCTGGGCAAGAGAGAGGAAGAGCAGTGGGGCAGAGGGTAACAGGAGGGATAAGGCCTTAGAAAATTTTGTGCACATCTTGGTAGTCAGTCAATGCTTGTTAAAATGAATAACTGGCAAGCAGACAGGTAGGCAAGCAGTTTGTAAGATGACAATCACAGTTTATATTAAATTTTCCTTTTGGTTTTAGGTTTTCTTTTTCCATATATAAAAGACCATCAAAATGCCAATAGAGAGACAGTCCCACTTAATCTTGGTCTGTTAAACTCAAAAGCTATAAGTCTTTTAAGAATGTGGCAATTTTATGTTAGTTTAAGTGAAGATTTAAGGGCAATGTGAGTCCAATGAAAGCACCTAGCTGTATGGCTGTATGGCTTCATCCACTCAATGGACTTTTGACATAACTACTCATTGAAGGCTTGTGAAAATGCACAAAGTCGAAACTAAATATTACGAAAATCAGCACTCACTTTTGGAAGTGCATTGGCTGTAAAGAACTTGATTTTTGCAATCATTTGTCTTTATCATCCACAGCATCTTTTAGAAGATGCTAAGCTAAATGTGATCCTTGCTCTTTAGAGGCCAAAAGAAGCGACATAAATGTCAACAAGTCCACAGAGCGTGCACAGACATAATGGTAGATATAGAAATAATAACATTTGACAATAAAATTAATCTAGGTAATATCCTCTGAGGGTCTCGTATTCTTGCCGAATCAGGGGTACACAGCTGCCTTTTCTAAGAGCCAGGAAACCTTCCGGAAGTAGCAGTGACCTTCGAAGTTCGCCAACAAGGGTCTCAGCTGTGGGAGTCACCTCTCCAGTAGATATGGTGGAAGTTTCCTCCGCGTTGACATTTGCCATCTACAATCGCCTTCTGCTCACGATTGGCTGGAACTCAGAATGAGTTCAAGATGAAAGACAAGAAGCGCTAAAGGCTTATTTTTTGGTGGCTCGAACTTCTTTGCTTACGTTAATTTTCATCACTGATTCGGCCATAGGTCTCCTCCCCAAACTAAACATGTCCACTCTAGAAAAAAAAAGAGGCTCTTTTAGTCTGGGTATCGGGAGTGAATTTGTGTCTCTGAGGCTGGGGGCACAGAAAGGGGAGGAGGAGCTAGGAACTTCACAGAGACACTACCCTCCTGCACCCCGCCCTTCCTGGGGCGGGGGAGGGGAGGGACATTTCCCTTAAGTTCATTACTGCCAAGAAGAGACCAGTTCTCCGGGTGGAACTGGAAGAGTGGGTCGGGTGTGGGGGGACTGGGAAGACAGATTTCTAGGGGATTGGCAGTTAGTGGAGAAATGGTCCCTGGCATCGCCCATAGCAGGGAGCAGCAGCCGGTTGGTAGACCTCCCAGCAGCTAAAGACCCCCGCTACCCCGGGAAGAGAGAGACCCACTTCCGGATTTGGAAGCACTCCCTTCTGGCCCCTCCCAGTACCCGGTTACGGGGTCTCCGGGCGCATGCGTAGCACTCGTCCGCCGCTCTGGGACTGGCCCGACTTACCCTAAACAACTAATCTACTCCTCCCCCTCCCGCTCGGGGCGTACCATTCGCGTTTGGGGGGAGGCAACGTGCCCCAGGGTACTCAGAAACCTGCTCCCCTTCTTCAGACAGGGAGAAGGTAAGTTTGCCTCAGATTTTAAAAGTTCCAAGAATATGAAAACCTCAGAGGCCCGTCGCCGGGTGATAGCCCGACGGTCTCGGCTTTGCCCACAGCCCCGTACTCTTCCTTTGAGGGGCTGAACAAAGTGGCACGCCCGGATCCCAGCTGATCAGCTGCTGGGCTTTGGCGGCGGCTCCCCCGGGCGAGACCATTGTGACTCCTTAGGAGGGGTGTGTGAGGAGGGGAGGGGGCGGAGCGGCCATTGTCCGGTCAGCGCAGCCTTCGGGGGAGGGGAGCGTGACGGAGCGAGCGAGGCCCGGGGCTTCACAGCCGCCGCTGCTACGCCAGAGCCGGCGGGGGCCTCAGGTCCTTCCCAGCGCCGCCGCGCGGGACATCGCTCTGGCTGCGAGCGGCGGTGGGAGCTGCCGAGGGCGCCGGGTCTTCCCTCCTCCCCCGCGGTCCTCGGTTCACCCGCACGCCCCTCCTCCTCAGCTACCCTCCCTCTCCGCGCCTCCCCCGGCCCCCCCATCTCTGCAGGCCGAGTGGTGCGGCCCGCCTCCAGCTGACCGGCCTGGAATCCCGGCTCGGAGCCTCGGACTCGCGCCCGCCCGCGCGCCCGCTCCCTCCCCCTCCCCCCGCCCCGAGCCCCCCGACGCCGCCGCCGTAGTCGCCGCCGCCTCCTTCAAGCGGGGCCCAGGCCCAGCCGCCGCCACCGCTGCCGCCGCCGAGCTCCGCCGCCGCCGAGCACCATGGGAGACGCCGGGAGCGAGCGCAGCAAAGCGCCCAGCCTGCCGCCTCGCTGTCCCTGCGGCTTCTGGGGGTAAGTGCCCGGCCGGGTGGGGGTGGGGGCGGGGGCTGGGGGCGCTGGCGCGGGGGCTGCCCGGGCAGGCCTCGGGGCCGGGGGTGGCCGGAACCCTGGGGGCTGGGCCCTAGCCGGGCCTACAGGGAGGGGGCAGGGGCCGAGTCTCGGGGAGGGGCGCTGGGTGGGGAGCTGGAGGTGGGCAGAGAAGGCCCTGGCCCGGGTGCACTGCCACCCTCTGGGACTCTCCTGCCAGAGCTTTGGGCCAACAGGGGCCGCCCGGGCCACTGGTGAGGGGGGGCAGGGCAGCGGAGAGGGATGAGGGGGCGGTGTTGGCACCTCCGGGTGAAGCTGGGGTGCCCCTTCCCTTGGCATGTGGAGGCCAGCCCTCCCTCCCTGCCTTGGTATGAGTTGGTGCCCAGGCACCAGGAGGGTATTTCCTCTGACTTTTTCACCTCCCCCTCCCTCCTTGTCCCCCAGAGACTTGCATCATCACTTCCTAAATTATATCCCAGTGCCCTATTTGCTTTTAGGAAGCTGTTCACACGTCACCCATCTTTAAAAATCGAGCCCAGAGCCGAGTCTAGGGTAAAGTTATAAGAATATGGAGGTCTCCCCTTTATTTAAAACACATTTCAGTAGTTCTGTAAAATTTCCTTGTCCAAAAAATAAAAAACAAAAACCCAAAACACCCAACTCAAGTCAACCTGGCTTGGGAACGTGAGAGCCAGTTTGCTCAATTGGCTCAAATTCATCTCTCTCCATTTTTTTTTTTTTTTTTTAATGATAAAAATATTTACATTGGCCAGCCTGCGTTATTACTTGACCATCCTGTTAGGGTGAAAAACTGTGAGGTGGGAAATTAACTTTTTCACCTACAGTTACATTTTAAATTCTCCTTGTTAACACTTGGAGTTTTATGGATTACCATCCCTCTTACCTAACAGGTGCCTCCATCCTACCTTATGACTCTAATTGTAGGGGAATTGGGAGACTTTGAAGGACTTTTGTGATTGATCCCTTTTTCCTCTATTTTCCAAAGACCTAGTATATTTCATAGTGTATAGAGGCAGTAAGTATATTTCATAGTGTATAGAGGCAGTAAGGAAATGATTATTTCTGGTGAGAACATTTTGGAAAGATGTATTTAAGTATTTTATTTTTGCTATCCCCCAGATGTTAGGAATGGTTGAAGTACAGATTAAGTCTGGGATTTTTGGGAGTGAAGAGAAAGAAAGTTGATCTTAATGTAGATTTCTGTGGAATTTGTCAAATTGAAAGGTCGTGACAGAAATAGGTTCTCATTTTGTCCTCTTTTCTGCCTTTTCTTAAAAAAATACCTGGTGGAAAGATGTTAGTCAAAAATAAGTTATGGTATTAGCAAAAGTTTTGAAGATGTGAAAATATTTTAGGTTTTATAGTCTTCCTAATAATTGGGTTGTCTGCTAAGTGCTTTCCTGGACAATGTAATTCCCACAGAATCTTAGGAGGTACAACCATTATCCCACTATAGATGAGGAAATTGAGGCTTTGAGAGGTGGATAACTTGCCCCTTGTATGCAGTGAGTGTAGGGTGGAGCTGGTGAGCTCGTCAGAGTGCTTAGTACCATCACGTTTATGACATCAATCTGCTGCCCTGGAAAAATCTGGTGTCACAAGCCTCTGATTGTAACTCATAAGAAGACATGTGGCTCAAAGAAAGTAGCTGCCAATGGCAACTAATGCCCAGGATGTATCAGAGAGAGGCTTGTTTCCTGGCAACAAGTTTGTCCTTGGGACCATTATCTTGAGCAGAACCCTTATCGAAAGACTTATGTCAAGACATAGAAACTAAGGAAATGGAATAGCCTTTTACTTTTAGGCTGCAGAGTTCTGAATAATGCCAAGAAAGTTTGATAGTTGCAGGGAGGATTAGTGAAACTGGTATCATACTTGACCTATAAGCAATCAGTCCTGCTTTTTTGATACTTTCAATCTGGCCCTTTTTAATGAACTGCAGTTTGCCTGATAGGAGTTGTGAGCACAAAACTAATATTTTTATGTTGAAAAGTGTTCTTTTTAATGTGTAATGTTTTAACCTTTTCTAAAGGAGTTTGTAGGTACCTGTGTAGTTTGCATTCTATACCAAAGTGTAATGATATTGCTGCAGAGTTTTATCATGACTGACTCCGAACCGAACACGTATTTCTTACTGTATGGGCCACATTCATACTATGTTCATTAACCTTGAATATATTCAACGAATAATTGAGTGTCTCTGGTATATGGTGGACAAGGGGGCACTGGCCCCGTCTTCTGGGAGCAGAAGTAAAGTGTCAGAATAAAGTATGTTAGGATTGGTACAGGGTGTAATGGCAGGGGCGCTTACCTAGTTGAGGTGGAGGTAGAGGAAGGTAGCCTGGAGTAAGTGACACCGGCCTAGGCCTGCAGGAAGGGTAGGGGAGAATGGAATTAGAAGAGTTTCTTTCAGGTGGAGGGGATAGCATGGGTGAAGTCCTGGATGTGAGAGAAAGCACCCCACATTTGAGGAACTTAAAAGTTCATTGGAGTTGACTGGTAGATTGTGAAGGGCAATTTGCTAGAGATGAGGGTGAGATGGTGAGAGCAGTTGGTGATGTAGGGCTCTGTAGGTAATGCCTAGGTCTTTGGACTTTTATCTTGAGTTCACTCAGGAACTATTGAAGAACTTTGAACACGTAGTGGCGTGATTTTCTTTAACGTGAAAGATTGGATGATGTTGAGAGGGGTCTGGGTGTGTGTGTGTATATGAATGTGGTGTTTTTATGTTCGTGGGGTATTACTAGAGGTACAGAAGTCTTATCAGGAGGAGTAATCCAGACCAGGGATGATTGGGGCCTGCACCTGTGTGGTAGCTAGACAGAATGGAGAAAAGTAGAAAGCTGTGAGAGCCATGCAGTAGGTATCTTGTGCCTTTTTCTTTCATGAAAATGAAGGTGAGTGTGTTACCTGAAAACTTAAGTCAGCATTGCATTCTGTGGAAGCCATAGGTCTGTAAAGTCAGCTAGCCACAGTCCTTTGCAGAGGAGCCTCTTAGCAGAATGTTCTGGCACCAGTAGACTAAAGGCAGTTCCTTTAAGATTGCTCTTTAGTTACTTAGGCTGCCAGACTTGCTGCCTGGCATTGTCCAGTCAGGACACCAGTCAGTGGGGCTTGCTTAAACAAGAGAGCTGTGAGGTCTTTTTTGTGGGAATGCAACAGTTAGAAAGTAGAGTGACAAGAGCAGCACACAATGCAAATGTGTGAGTATTTGGAATAATGAAAGTTTCTACTTCTCTCTCTCTTGGTTTATGTTGTTTAATTGTGGGCATGGAATTAAGTTACTGTTCTACGGAGAGACCATCTCTCCACTGGGAAACTTTGCTACCTTGGAAATTGTTGAAGATTTACCTCTTTACAAAAGTTGAAAATTGTGTGGTGTGTACAATGTTTTTAGAGTTAATGATCATAAACCGTTTTTTTCCCTGAGGTATGTACTTAAAACTTTTAGTGAAATATGAGTATTTTCTTGGCTAATTTTTAGGCATTCCGTAGTCCTGCGGAAAACATACTAGTTTGTAATAAACCTGAAATGAAATAGTATTTTAAAATAATAAAAATATTATTTTAGAAATAGTATTTTAGAAATATATACATACACAAAAGCACTTTTAAATGATATGGGTATAAGTGTTACTAGTTGAAGTTGCATTTTAAGTTGTTTAGACGTTTAAAATGTACCGAAACGCGTAGATTCTTTACAGGCATTTTCAAACAGTGTTGAAAGAACAGACTTAGAAATATTCTAGGGGCGCCTGGGTGGCACAGTCGGTTAAGTGTCCGACTTCAGCCAGGTCACGATCTCGCGGTCCGTGAGTTCAAGCCCCGCGTCAGGCTCTGGGCTGATGGCTCAGAGCCTGGAGCCTGTTTCCGATTCTGTGTCTCCCTCTCTCTCTGCCCCTCCCCCGTTCATGCTCTGTCTCTCTCTGTCCCAAAAATAAATAAACGTTGGAAAAAAAAAAAAAGAAATATTCTAAAAAAGAGAGGAAGAAGAGGGGTGCCTGGGTGGCTCTGTAGTGCCCAACTCTTGATTTCATCTCAGGTCATGATCTTGCAGTTTGTGGGATTGAGCCCTGAGTCAGGCTTTGTGCTGACAGTGAGGAGCCTGCTTGGGATTCTCCCTCTCTCTCTCTCCCTCTGCCCCCACCCTGCTGACTCTCTCTCCCTCAAAATAAATAAAATAAACTTTAAAAAAAGAGAGAGGGAGAAGACTTAAGACACTAATGTACTGACTATATTATAGGATAAGAAAAAAAGATAATTAGATAAGAAAAAATGGACTTTTTTCAAATTTTACTTACTAAGTATAAAAATCAAGTACTGATATTTTGCTTTTACAATTGGAGACAATCTGTTGTAATATTATGGAAACTTTGGGAACTACTATTTCTTTCATAAATTAGTTTAAAGTATAGTTGACAAATGTTCAGTCTTGTTCTTTGGGAATAAT